AAATTATCTGGAGCTAGTTAAATGGTTACTCTGACATATGCAAAGACATTCAGATACACGTGGGATTTTCTCTGCCTATGACTGATCTTGGCCCTTTGGAAAATACTAGTCAAAGTAGATGGTTTCTCGTCTCCATATGATACACCCTGAGCATACATCTTTTCTCTAAGAAGGAGAAAATGGGGGCGGGGGGGCGGGTAAAAATTATCTAATAAGAGAACAATGAGCTGCTTTGGGCTAAACACGTAGAAAAATAAGCAAAAGAGAAAAAGTGAAGATCAGAGAGAGAAACAAAGAGAAGAATAAAGCTTCTCATAAAGAAAATAGACCCATATATTTGTAACATTTAAATATTTTTTAAAAAGCACTGTTCATCTTTTAGCCTCAATCCTCAATACTTATCAAAAAACTAACATGATAGAGAGTAAATACATTCTAAATATCACTTGCACTACCAAATTGCACAGACCCTAGTACCTCTGCCCCAGATTTCCAAGGGGCTCATTTGGTGTCACCACCTAATCTGACAGTTAACAAAGAATGTCAACAGAAAAAATTTAAAAGTGCTAGAGAGTGAAACATATTTCTAGCAATAAACGGGGGAAAGAGAGCCCAACAAAAGCTGAAACAAAACAAAACAAAACAAAAACACGTAGTGAGCCTCAGCTCAAAAACTCTGTTATTTCAACAAAAAGCAGTCAATTCTAATGAGAGGCATCCCCAACCATTCAGATCCAATTCGTGGAACAACAGATGTGCTGGATGGCTGTAGGCAACATACACTCAGCTGTTCTCACCCTGGCTAGCCCTGAGAATCAACAAGGATGCAGTGGTGCCAGGCTAAGGTGACTTTCCTTTGCTAAAGTCTCTAAAGTGCATCAGTTCACTCAGAAGAAGGCACCTTTTTGGAACGTATCCCAAATGAACATGATTCTTATTTTCTACTCTCTCAGGACTACTACATCCTTAACCCCATGCTCCTGTGGCTATGACATGAAAACATGCATTTGGACAATTGAATTGCTTGGAGCAGTCATTTTGTATTAACACAATGGATACGTTTATCTCCTGTACCGACATTATCCATAAGCGTAGCCTTTTCATTCTTGAAAACACAGATCGAAATGGAGTACAGGAAGTTTCCACTGGATGGCTATCACCCCCTACCAAATACGGCATCTTTTTCTCCCCAAATATCACATCTTGTAGCAGTGATAAATACAGAAAATCTGGCAAGAACTATCATTTTGTAGGAAGTCTCTGTTATTTATTGATACCACTGAGTTAATTTTCAAAGAGATCTTCTCCCTCAATCATTGTTTCTTATCAGACAACAAAAGACTTAAGAGTTGAAAATTCCAACCAATCCAGGAGATCTTGCCCAAGATGTTTTGGACGTTTTTGCTTTAAAGAGAGTTAGATTATTTAAGAAAATTGTTCTCAGCATTAGACACACTGGTTTAGATCCCAGCCACACTGAGCATTGCTTCTCTGTAAGTCCAAAATTGAACTTGAGTTTGTGCTTAATGTTCTTCTTCTGTAAAATGAACCTCTAATGACTTATGTTATATGTTTTTAATATTAAATGAAATAACATACATTAAATAAGAGGTAAAGTACCCAGTGCAATTGAACAAACATTAGGTAATGTTCGTATAAGAGATTATACCACTTAACTAACCGAGAAGTCTGAGATAAGTTTTTTCCATCATGAAAGGATGGATGTATTATATCTGAAGACATTAGAGAAAATACTAGAAGTGAGTGTGGTACACACACGTGTACGTATAATCCTCATAGTCTGCTGTCGTGACTTAAATATTTTGAACTTCAGGTGAAACTATTTTCTCTCCATGCAAAACTTAATATTTTCAAGTCACATTCTATAATTACTTGAACTGCTGACAATCTAGAAAAACAGGGATTCTGGAAATAAATCCCAGCCAGTATCTAGCTGATATGCATCCACGCCAGAGGAACACCTTATACGCCAGTTCAGTGTCATTGAAAAAGAAAAATTAAAAGTTAAATAAGAAAGTGTTTTCTCTCCCTCAGCCCTCTAGTTCATTTTTATATCTTCCATCCACGTTTTGCTGCATTTCTCCCAAGCTGCAGTACCATTTAAAATATGCATTTGTAACGTATTTGCTTCAGAATAGCATAAAACTGTACACACTGAAAAGGTATTCCTAAAACACAAAACCCACAAGGAACCATCTGAGGAATTTCCATCTCAGCCTCCCTCCTTTATAGAAATGGCAACATTTTCATCGAATAATATATCTAAATCAATACGGTCCCGACGACCATCACAGGCCAATTGCGCTGATGGCACAACTCCTGAAATTTTCAGAGTCAAAGAAACGCCAAGACACCTAGAACTTGAAGAGATGTTCCCTTTCAAACTTCAGCTCCATGAGAACATGGCAACAGACTTCAAACATCAAATGTATCATTTCCCACAGAACAATATTTATTTCTCCTTTCTGAAACTGCCCAAAGTGATTCAGGTCCTGGAAATGTGACTTGTTAAGGACATTTGTAAAAGGACATTTAATTCATCCTTTTCTCTTGTCCTAAAAGATATTAACCTCTCCCATCCCCATCTCAACCCCAGCAAGAGCCACTCAAATCGAGGACGGTCAGAAAGGCATCTGGAATAGGACAGTAGGCCTTGACAACTGTGGATGAAAGAGTATTAAGCTCAGCTCTTCAGAAAATACCTTGATTGTCCATGACATACGGTCATTTCTTTTTGTTTAGGACTCACAGAGTGAGGATCAAGAGCAGGAACCAGGCAAAATGTCTAGCAGCCTGGGCATTTTGTTGTAGCAGCAATACCTAAAGGTGTACCCTGCATAAACTCTCCTTCTGCTCTTCCTGGAGGCATGAACACATGGGGTCTATTGGAAACTGGCCATTAAAAAAAAAAAAAGAAAAAGAAAATCTAGTGCTCTTTTGGAAGTGAAGAAGTCTGATATTATGATAACAGGATGCTCACTGGCAGAAAATAAAAGGTTTAAGGGACAAATTATGTCCTTTAGTGGTATACGGAAACTTGCAAGAATCATAAGGATTTCGAGAAGAGCTGACCAATAGAACTTTCTGAAGAAATGGGAATGTTCTATATATGCTGGAACAGGTGCACTTGAAATGTGGCTAGCCTGACTGAGGAACTGAATCTTAATGCTCAAATTTTATTTAAATTTAATTAACTTAATTTAAAATGTAAATAGTCATACATAAGTAGTGACTACTACATCGAACTGAGCAAGTTCAGAGTCATCACTCCGAGTTTACTGAGAGCCTTTATACACCGGTTTATTTTCTCAAAAACTGTTATACAAGGAAACAGGTCTCAAACATGTGTATTAATATTTATGACTATGCGATTGCAAAATCACAGTGAATTAAACATAAATGCACTATCTCTACTAGTTGAAACTGTACCAATCTACTTGACCTATGGGCTTTTTCCATGTCTGTTATGGCCTTACAGAGAAAGAGGTGAAATTAGAAGGAAAGAGTCACTTGCTTGCCTATTTTGCAATCAGTGTGTCCCTGCATTAGTATCAGAACGTCATAAGAAAAACCAGAATGGAGAGTGAAAAACAACAGCAACAGCCAGGAGTATCTGATGGAGAGGGAAGATGTAAAGGATTAAAGGACAGTAATCTTTCATTCCTACTACTGTTCGGAATAGGAGGTCCATGTGCCAACAATCAGATAAAGTGGAAAGCTAATACATTTTAAGATGTATTTTGCCAGCACAGTAGAATGCAACCACAGGACCCAAGAATTCTGAAGCTCCAAGGGCCTTTAAACATTATCCATTTCAAACTCTCCTGCAGATAAATAAGCAATTTGAAGCCCAGAGAAGTGAAGTGTTCAGTGTTCCTGAGATAATAGCCAACCTCAGTCCCAGATCTCCTAGTCTGAGTTCTCTCCACTATGACTTTCATGCTCATTCTGCTGAACACAGACTGAGTCTTGAGCAGAGAAAGAGCCTCATCTCCATCCCAACAAGTCCCAACCTCCAGTGAGTAGAAAATAATGTTTTAACCATGCTGCTGTGCTTGATACAAAAGTTCCCTTCACCAACACGGCATTCCTAAAAACCATGCAGTTTACACAGTTTACCAAACACTGTGAAAAAAGAAATTATAATACACAGATGTCTTAAGAGAATGCTTTATATAGGGACGGTTTTTGAGTTTAATGTGTATTTTTGCTATGAAGGTGGTTTGTGCTGTACTTAAAGGAGACATGAGTTCAAGAGAGACGGTTCCAAATTACCAAAGCAAATGACTACTCATCTTACGCTTTTTGGTGACTCAGTGGCACCATGAAAAGTCATTAAGATAGAAGCAAACAATTACTGAAAGGAGCAAAACCAAACAAGCAACCTCCTTTTAGATCCAGAACTTAGATATTAGCCAGCTCAAAAACTCTCATTTTACAGGTGAAAAAACTGAGATGGCAGATTTTAAATGACTTGTTTCAAGTCACACAGCTAGTAAGTAAAAGAATTGAGTCTTAGAGGCAGGACTTTTGTCTCCAGGTTTGGAATTTTTTGTTATTCTAAAAACCACACTAAGATCGATGTCTATAAAACAGAAAAACAAAGAAAAGGACAATTATCCTATGTATGTCATTATTGTTTTAAAAAGTCTGTTATTTTTCATTGGAGGTATATTTGACATAACACGTTCCATGTTTTGTATGTAATCACAGGGATTACTGATGGAAGGAAGAAAATTGCGTTTCACGAGTTATGTAAAAGATCAGGCAATAAATACACAGTACGGCCTAAATTTTATCGACTTTCCTGGTCCTCAGACAATCTTCTACAGATAAATGCCACTACTGCTGATAAGAGCAAGAGATAAATAACACTGCACATTTTAAATGCCATGTACTTTGAATTTTATACTGTGCTCTTATAAATGAATCCACAAGAGAGAAAGCAAATGCTAAATAAATACAGTGGTGGGGCTTACATTCTTGTGTTGCTGGTTTTGTTGATGATGACAGATTTCCCTGTTTGATCCACGTTGTGATCCAACCCAAAGTAAGCTGCCACTCGATGGACAAGCATCCTCTGATAGGACGACATCTGAGGAAACTTTTTATAATGATTACTGGAAAGGAATACAAGAAACAGCAGCATCAGCAAATTCGTTTCTGGCCTGTAGTACCTTTTAGAGGCACACCAACAAAACCAGTTCTTTTTCATCCAAACCATTAAGCTTATTTCATTTCTGGCATCACGTGAGGTCCTCATTTCCAGACACATTTTCCACTGACAGATGTACTGATTAAGTTACAATAAGTGTTTTTGTTTTATAGTTGCACATTTCTCAGACCACAGAGAACTTAATGTCCACTGGAAAGTGTTCTGTTTTGGTCCAGGATACCTTATCAACAGAGCCAGGCACAGGACAAATGACATGACATAATACGGGACTGCAGATGCCTATCTGGAGATATGTCATTACATGGTTGACACTGAAAGCAGTACAATTATTTCCAGGCATAACTGACTACAGCCAGCTGGCGCCCATTAAAAAACTATAATAAAAATGAAAAGGGTCGCTTCTTGTTACTGCTACTCTATGCTAATCAGTGGCCCCCTGTTTATAGCCGTTTTGTCAGGAATTTAACAAGCGGGAGCACACACGGTCCAAGCAACAATTCCCATCAGCACATAGCTCCTAACTCCAATAGCATCTCTATTTAATGAGTCAGCAAACACGTTAAATAATGTTTTATCTATCCCTAAAAATCTTTCCAGAATGAATAATTAAACCCAAATACCAAACTAAGACATATCAGATTAATTAACCGGCATTGCAATTTAACATACTTGTTGTCACCAATGAAATCAATAATTTCCTGCTCCATTTTCAAGAGTATCATCCTGTCTCTGCAAAATAAATGTTAAAATGAAAAGGCTTTATGTACTTTCCATTCCCAAAGACTTAACAATTTCATTTATATGTATGGAAAAGATTGTTTAAATCTATGTGGCTACAAATCAGTATCTAACTCTTCTCTGGAATATGCTGTCCAAATACCTGTAATTCCATTCTGTTTAAGATTATTTCTCATCTCATTTGTTAAGTATTTTGTAATATTGAAACTCCTGTAGTTTTTAATATTAATTAAGGCATGCAAGGTATTAGGCCCATAAAACACATCAAGTAAATTTTATATTTTAAATTGATAGGAAACTGGAACAAAGCTAAGCCTAAGTAGTTGGTTCTATAGCTGTACTGATGCATATTTGGTTTATTTGACATTGATTCTCATCCTCTATTTTTTCCCCTTAATCAGTATCTCTTTGTGACCAGAAAAGCAGAACTTGTAAACTGTAATTTATTCATTGGCTAAGTACCCAGGAATTAAGACTATTTATACACAGTACACATGCAAACTATTTGCAGAAAAAAGAAAATACAAGAGACAGTTTAAGACATCAGAGAAGAAGCCTGCCTTTTACAACTCTCTTCTTAGAAGTGTTTGGATTAATGAGTTTGATTGTAATATTCTACTTGACTCTTCTAGAAATGAGAGGTTTACTTAATAATTTACCTGGAATTATTCTTTAATGTGTTAATCAGAAACTCGTGTAAGTCTATGCCTGTAGAATCCGTATATTCTTGGCTGCAATCTGAAACAAATAGCAGGATGGAGTTGTCAGAAAGGCCGATGGGGAGGTGGGGTGGAAAAGGTTTTCCCAACCTTTCCCGATCCCTTTTGCTCAGGTAAACTTTAGGTGAAGCTATTGGTGTGAAAGATACATGTTACAAAACTAGCAACCTGGTAATATTACATCAGGATGAAAATTAGATTCGGGGATTGAGAACACCCAGTAAATTCCCAGTGTGAAAAGACCCAACTGTCATAGGAGAGGAAGTGGGCACAGTCTGGGTGGGTGGGTGGAGTCAAATGTCATGTGTTCATTCTGTGCTGTCAATCAGCAAGGGCACGACCTCCCTGTGACAGTGAGGGGTACTCCCAACCCACAGAGAGAGCTCTCAAGAGTTTGAGATACCATGGAACTCTCTTTCTCTTAAAACAGAGAAGGCAAAAACTGAAAGTTCTGTTATAAGACTGTCTAAATAATAATCAATACAAAGTATAGGAGGGCACTAAATATTTCCAAGTCTTTCAAGTCTTTTGATGCTGGCTAAAGCTTAATTTCTAAAGCCATCTTAGGAAGCTGTACTTTTTTACTCTTGGATACACCTTGGTTTTAGATATTCAGCAGCAGAGATAATCATTATAGGCAGATATGTGGTTATAGAGCATAATATGAGAAGTAGTTGTCATTTCTCAGCTCATCAGATGCCCTATGCTCCTTCAGTTATTTTTTAAAAAAATAGTCTACTGCCAAGCTATTTATTCATGGTATTCTTCATTTCAACTTAGTTTTGTTTTTCCCTCTCTCTCTTTTTTTGGTTTTAGTTTTGTATAATTATACGTAAGGCAACAATTTGAAAAGCCCGGATTGTAGATTTGGGGGTTTTAGAAGGAATAACTTTTGGGGAAGAATTTTTATTGAAGTAGAAGTGTGTATATTTTAAATGAGACATTATGGAGCAGTATATGGGTTGCAGAGACCAAATTCATCTGTGCCAGATAAAATGTTAATATGTGTTCCATTGACATTGGTATATACATCTGTGCTTTGGGGATAACAACACTTACCACTTATCGACTGAGAATTGCTAATCCACTATCTGTTTCTTAAGATAAACATGAAAGTTAAGATATAAAACTGGGTACTATTACTGTTCATCAATTCGAGTTAACTGGACTAATAAACCTGAATTAAGAACATATTTATAGTCACTCCCTTGTACAAACTTCTCATTGAAAATAGGATATCCAAACGAATATCCAAAGAAATATGTGATCCTAAAAGTAACCTTTCTAGATACACAAAAATGACACCATGAACAGAAAAAAAAATCAAGGTCACATCACCTTTTACACACACACATACGTACACATATAAAATTATATGCAGAATTTGGTGGGAGGTGACATGTGTGTAAAATCTATAATGTATTCTGTGACTATTTATGCGTCCAAATTAAGTTAAGGAAACATTTTCACATTCACCTTTTGATAACATTCTGATCTTGGGTTTTTCACAGGTTTTATCTTTGTTTTTATCCTTTTCTTTTTCTCTTTCAGAGTCATCTTTCCTAGATTTATCATCCTCTTGCAGGCTGGGAAAACTGGAAAGCTGTAAATGAATTGATTCCTGTTGGGGAAAAAATATAATAATTTAGGGCCAGATTTAAGAATCTCTGTCTGGTTTCCATTTTGCATAGAGATTATTAAGAACAGGAAAATGAAAGCCAGGTGCAGATTTTTTTTTTCTTAAATGGTAAAAAATTAAACCTGTCAGAAAAATAATTGCCCTTTAAGGTGAATTAAACTTCAGAAGTCAATGGAAGGTCATGAGAAGTATATAGTACTAAAACTTTGCCTCATGAATATTAACCATAAGCAAGTTAAATTTCCGTAGATAACAACACTGATTTTCTCTACAGGTTTATTTTTAAACACCTAGGAAAAATTTTCTTTATCAATAAGCTTGCATCACAGCTCCTGTCATGTCTCAAAAAAAGAAAAAAAGAGGCTTCTGCAGTTCTTTTCTATAATTCCTTGTAAGGAAAAATTGGCACAAACACAGACAGACAGATACTATGAATCATAATTACAGAAAAAACAGACATAAATAAAGGCCATGACAGCCAATTTACAATTAAAAATCTGTTTTAGAACCATATCAATAATGATTTCTATCACTATGAAAACTCAAGATATAGAATTGCAGGAATCCTAGGTATGGGCTATTATCATACATTGTTTACAAAGGCTATTAATAAATCATCGTAACATATGGTTACAATAAGCACTGCCTTTTAGAAAAGGTAGAAAATAGGACTATATTTTCCATCAGTTATATATAAATATTTAATATTATTTTAATTCTAGCATCAGTTAATCCTTTCCAAGATGTAAGATTCTCTTGAACTGATGCTTGGTTGACCATTTACAGTATTGGGACTGGATCCACTTTTATATTTATTGATTTTTCACTGAAAACAGATCATTTTGTATTAACTCACATATCAGCCATTTGGTTGATAGTATGTTCACTGTTTTGAAGAAGAATGAGCCAAATTATGTTTTTCAGTTTTATGAAAAAACTACACTATGATTAAAACTATGACAAATGAGCCAACATCAAGCCCACTGGCTCTTATGTAAGAGACGATTTGATGGGAAAGCTTTCTTCTACTAGCGACATTAACATTTATGATGCAGGAAAAAAATATTCCCAATGACTAATAGTGTTTCTCACTGATAACTAAACTAATGCTCCTCTACATGTGACTAAACTATGCCTCTACATCCTCAAATTATGGTCAATCTGGGATTCTTAATGGTTCTTGGTAAGTCTGGCTAATCTAACAAGCAGAAAACAAAAATCCTCCAAAGCCAGATTTCTTTTTTGGGAGAGGCTCCATTGTGTATTCCAGGCTGGAATAAAAAGTCACCATGTTTGGAAAGATGCATGATACAGAGGATGAAATAAAACACCTTCTCATGGTAAATATTTATCTTTGCCGGGTTTCCTGATATCCACATGTTTATCCTCGGGATGGACATATACAAATTATGTAAAATGGAGTGTAATTTGATTGTAAGGTCTTTTATCACCGGACTTAGGACAGAAATGTCTCAGTCTGCAGAGATTCAGGCAGACTTCGGGGTTACGGTTTGCTTCCACTTGTTAAGGAAACAGCTGGAACATTTCTGGCTCTGAGTGGGGAAGAATCGATTCGACAGTGGATCAGGGGAGGAAAGTGATGGTACCAGGCCATGGCAGTGGTCTCATTGCTTCTTCAAAACCGATTGAACCATCCAGCCTCGGTAAGTTTGAATCTAAAATCAAAGAGGCTTGGAAATATAAATGTAAGAGCACAGGCTGAAGGACATCATTTACCAAAAATATGTACAAACTCATGCCGTGTGTTGACAAATACCACACTCAGAAACATACCTGTCTTTTCTACACATTCTGGTGTTGAAAGAACACACAAAAGTGCTATAGAGTTGGTAAAAAACAATCTGTTCTTTTTTAATATTTTTATTGATATGCTCAATAATAAAATACAAGTATTAATAAATACATCGGTACAGGATAAGTTTATATCCAACAACAGGAAAAGAATGATTCAAGTTGCAGTAATACACTGATAGGTAAATAGTATAACATTAGAAAAGCAAAACTCCTTTAACTTAAGGACAGGCTGAACCATCAGCTATGGGTCTGAGATCAAGTAATACAGGTAGCAAGAGTTTTTCCCACGCAGGAAAATGAAGGCAGTTTTCCAAATACTGTGAATATACAAACATTGGGGAAGCAATACAATCCGTATACTGTATACTTCGGCCAGTGTTCTCAGGGATTCAGTTCCCACATTTTGTTTAAGTGCCGGTAGTACCTAATGAAGGCATTGCATTCAAGCTCAAAGGTCTGCTTCTTTATTTTCTAAAAAAAGTAGCACGGCCACTCGCTTATTTGTGTGTCTATCAGCCCCCTGCTTCCACCACACCTCAGCCAGTCCAAAGAGAGGCTTGCAAGCTCTAATTTCTACAAAGCTAGTCTTAGTTACTCAGCTTGGAACCAGCAGGAACAAAGCACCGTTTGCCTCTTATTTCTCTGCACCAATTGTATGGAGAACCTAGACTTAGGTCCAGGATGGGCATAACGATACAGATGATCTCTTAAAAAATTTCCTCCTGGTACTTGTCAAATAGGATAAAAAGCAGATGAAATCTATAAAGGCTGTCCTCCTCTGCCTGGCATTAGAAGTGGGGGACCACTGGGGCATTACTTCTCCCAGGGTCTGTCATTCTGCAGTGTTAACATATATTGTGTGCATTACATCACAAGCCATCAATCAATGTTGAATAATATAAGCTGTGATATTCACATTATTCCCCCTTTTCAATCTCCCTTAAAAGAAGAAGCACAAATAAAATGCTGAACAAAAGCCACATATTTCTCAGAGCCCAAGTAAAATAAAGCCTGTGTATGAAACATAGGGATGGCTACTGAAAGCTAGCCTGCCCATGGCTTACGACATGGGTGGCTTATTAAGGAAATGAGGCTAGGGAAAAAAAATACTCTTAGGACAAAATCTATAAGGAATTTATTTTTGGTCCTTTTAAAGAAAGTGCTCTCAATGCTCTCTGTACCCATGAGGAGAATTTAGACTATTTTAATTAAAGTAAAAAGAGCGAAGCAAAACAAGGCCCAACAAAAATAATGCTATCTTAATCAATTTTTCCTCCTCTGGGCTCAGATAAATCATTTTACTTGTCTTCACTGCTCTCAGCCTCTGATAAAATAAGGAAAATTTTTTAGCAGCAAGACCATTTTTATAAAAATGAATATGATGCCTGAAAGGCAAGCAAAAATAAATACGATGTGAAGTTTCCCATTTTGTCACAGAAGGGTTTTGTTGGAATTTGAATTTTTAGAGCTTAATAGTCTTGCTATAAGGAGCAAAAATAGGTATTAAGGATATGCAGCAATGTATTAATAATATTAACTCAAATTCACCATCATCTCAGATTTATTTCTGGACAATTTTTCCAGTAGTGAGAAATCTCTACCAAAGGCCATAAAAGTATGTCTCCAAAACTCAATGCACCTTATTCACTATTTCTGAAGTTTCATAAAAGCCAAGATTTGTGTTTTTATAGGCAAGTGCATTTTGGGGAGGTAAGAATCTCCAATAAGGAAGGAGATGGGATACTTGGGACTCTATTTGGTTCAGTTTTATCAAGAGAGAGCCTTTGAGGAATATCAGCACGACTGTGCTTACATTTTAAGTTTTAATCTAAATTCTTTTGAATTCCTTTCCATTGGCAGTTTTCAGAGGGTCTGGAAAAAAACAAATGTAATACTTTGTGACAAACTGTTCAACTAATATTGAATGTCTCAGAAACAGAGGATGAAGCCAGAAGACTTTTTCCTTCTTGAACTGTTTTTTGCTCCCCCAAAGCACTATTTAATGCCAAATGAATACTCATGCACACAAAGGTAGATCCCGTTCATGCAATGACCCATAATGACAGGGGGTATACCTGGTCCTGAAGACTTTCCCCTCCTGGTCTGGCCGAGGATTCTTCACAGACAGCAAGGCTGCGAGTCAGTTTACCTTTCCCTGCTCCTGACTGGGGAGGGAAAAGAAACGAGAAGGAAAGGAAAATAAAGAAAAAAAACCCAGGATATATCCTCAGGCTGTCGAATCATCTCCACCTTCTCTGGACATTCCCAAATCAGAGTTTTAAAAGCAAGCTTCAGATCCACTGCTCGGTGCTGTCTACAATGGCTCCAAGCATCACCCCCCCGTGCTGATGGGGATGCAGTGTCTACACTGGCTTAAAGCATCGGACCCCTGTGTTGATCGAGATGCAGGTGGAGGAGAATGTGGAAGGATGAATTTAAGGAACATGCCTAGCAAACTGTGCCCATCACACTGGAAACGTACAAAGAATTAATTGCTGCCTTTTCATGAAAGTACAAGGAGAAAAAGATAACACAAATTAATTTCTACTAAAACTGAGTTTGGAAGTGACTTGACTGAGAAGATGTTTTAAAAGTTGAAGACTGTGTCCTAAACACCAGAACCTGTTTACTTCAAGGCAGAAACTAATTAGACAGACTAAAACATTTCCCCCAAACTTGATTTAAAATGAAAAGAAAACAAGCAGCTATTTGTTTGTAAAGCACTGTCAAGTCTGCCAGGATCATATATATACACTGCAGCTATGTGAACCCTAAATACTCTAATTAAAAAGCCTATAGAGGGACTTCCCTGGCAGTCCAGTGGTTAAGACTTCACCTTCCAATGTAGGGGGTGCAGGTTCGTTCCCTGGTCAGGGAGCTAAGATCCCACATACCTTGTGGCCCAAAAACCAAAACATAAAACAGAATTCAATAGACTTTAAAAATGGTCCATATCCAAAAAAAAAAAAAAAAGCACATAGAGCAGATAGGCATCAACACGACCCCATTAAATGCAGGCAGCACCGGTGCAGCCAAGATCCACATACAGCCACGTGAATCCTTGGCAAATTCTCTAACCCTGATGTTAATCCACATGCAACCATGATATCAGGTCAATGCAGAATTCCAGAACCCTACCTTGGATTTTCTTCTCTCTTGGTTCTGAGCCGCCAGTTGCCTCTGTAGGTTAGAAACAAAATCAAACAAACAAACAAACAAACAAACAGTCCACCAACAACCAGGAGAGGAGAGGGGAGAGAAGGAGAGAAAAAGATGTCACCAGCGTTGAAAAATCAATAACAACAGCAACAAGGTATTATAACCACCAGGGAGGACTCCCCCAGCTCTTGCTTCCCCAAACTTTTCACCATTTAGCTTTTCTCATTCCCTCCTTACAGCAGCTCCTGGGGAGGGGAAAAGCCGGCCTTGAAGGCTTTTTTGGCCATTATGCTGTTATCAGCCTCTGCTCCCTTTTTATATAAAAAGAGTTAACACTTTTGTAGTTTGGTTTAAAGAAAATCGATACAGGTTATTTGCAAGTACAGTTTATTTTCCTTCTACCAAATCTCCTTCTCTCATAAATCATGAGTATTTAATCATATCACTTTTTCAGTACCGTCAATCACTCCCAAACTTCCCCCTACCCCTTCTAGAGCATTCTTTCTCCCTCTCTCTCTCTGGCTGGGAATTCTAGGCTTTTCTGCTAATAAGAATCGAAGCTTAGCCTGCCCAGGAAGGTCAACAGAGCTCACGTCTTTGATTTTTCTTAGTCTGTCATGAGCTGTATTCCATGGACTACAAACCCATTTTTATAACTCAGCTAGTGTAAAGCTGCCTCAGAAGTCCTCCACAAGCTACTTGAGGTGATCTGGAAATTAATATGGAGAAGCTGTGGGCAAATTCAGTCATTAAATATGTTCTTTGGATTTTTTTTTTTTTTTCATTTCAAAGGGCATTTTGACCAGAATGCACTGTTTGGTCAGAAAAAAAAAAAAAAAAAAAGAAAACAAGACTAATAATTGGAAAAGGAGAAGATTCGTTTTATGGATTTCCTATTTGTTTTACTAGTCAAACTCTTTACAAGCAAAGAAAACCCCAAACCTTCAGAGTATCTTCAAAATGAAAGAAAGGGATGCACACAGTGGTATGAGAAATGGGATTTCTCCAGGCTCACCTGTAATTCCAGTTTCTCCTCCTCGTCCAGACTTTCGGATTTAACCACGCCATTCTCTGGAGTGGCCGTCTCCTGCTCAGGCCCGCCTTCCTCCACTATGGTCTGACTCAGGTCTCCTGGCTCAGACATTCTCCCAGATGCAAATTAAAATAACAAGATTTGACACCCTACAAGGTTAAGACATCAGAAAGTAATGTCAGCACAGGGTGAAGTCTTGACCGTTATCCTTGAGATATTTGATTTTTCCCTTTGTACTCAAATTCGAATAAGCAACTCCAGCCTCCCTGACAATTTTATACAAAAGGAGAATAAAACAAGATGAAATCAAGTACCCAAGACAAACGCAAGAGGCAGATTCAGTTGCCCTGTCCACGCCCCTCCAAACACATACACATGCTCTTGTGAATACACCTTGCCGTCAAGGTGGGTCAATACATCTTAAAATGAGACATGAAAGTCCCACACGTCTCCCGGTCCCTATGCTCCTCTACAAAGTAGAAGCAAAAGAAGAAGAGAGTATCTCCCCAACTCTTCCTCCACTTCTGAGTCGGGAGGTGGTACTAGGTTCTGCAGCATCTCTAAGATGACTCATAAATCATTTGCAAACTTCAACCACAGACATACCTTCCTGGGTACAAGGGATTCAGTACACTCTACAAGGGGCAGAAGTCAATGTAAGAGGTAATCATTCAGTATACACATAGGATCTAAATTTGGCAGTAAACCTTTCAGGGACAACAGTTTCAGGCTTCACAGTAACAGTGACGTTATTAAAAGCAGAAGCCCTCACAAGCCCTGTCGGTGGCTGATGCTGGAGATTCTGCAGAAGGAAGCTATCACAACTGAACTCCGATGCTCCAGGCTCACAAGAGACGACTACACAGACACTGGAAATGGCTTTTCAAAGTGTCAGCCTGTCATTAGTACTTTCTTCTCCCTTCGTCCATAAAGCCCTGACACTTGCCCTTCTGATGTGCTGTCAAAGGGGGCTCCTGAATAATTTAGCATTTACTTCCTCCTCAATTTTTTTTTTTAAAGAAAAACAAGAAAAGAGAGAAAAGAAAGAAGGAGGAAAAGAAAGAAGAAAAGAGAGGAAGGAAGGAGAAAGAAAAATAGAGAAAGACCTTGTAGCCTAGAAAGTCAGTTTTTTCACAAAAATTCCCAAGTAATGACTGCCCTGTTCCTAGTCATTACAATGGTAACTATTACTGGACAAATCAGTGTCTTGACATGTTTCTCTGGGAGTGTTTATCATTTACTAGTTCAGTAACTTTATTTCCAACTGGACATAGGAAGCACGAGAAAAATCTAAATCGCAGTAATTTCTGTTGCAAATTTGCTAAGACCTACCATGACAGGACAAGCTCACTTGGCAAAGGATTGTGGGAATGGAAAAGGAAGTTTTCCTCAAGGATGGTACTTGGGAGTCTGTGAGGGCCTGGTGAGCAAGGCTCTTAGGTTTGGGGAGGTTTGAGGATATCCATTCAGTGTATCTGACAGATCTCTTGTATTTCAGTGACACCGGGGATGTGTGTAGTTAACCAAACAAAAAGTTCTGTTTCCCAGTAGCAAATAGTTTGTTTCTCAATGTACTGAGTGGGGGGAGGAGATGGGACTTCTGTTGCCCTAACTTTTTTTCCAGAGGGTTTCAATAAAAAACAGATCGTGGCCAGCTTTAAAAAAAAAAAAAAAAGAACAGGTTGAGCTCTAATTTTACAAACACTAAGGCAGTTGAATCCCTGATACAGATCCTGTCTGTTTTGGTTGCCTTTCATGAACTGTTTTATGCAAACAGGCATATTTATAGAATGAGAAAAATATACAGATGAGATGACAGCCATCTGATGACAGCCCTTTACCTTTTGCGCAGAATTTCTGCTGTCGGTCTTGGCGACTTACGAGCGGCTTCTGTCCTTCTACGCTGGGAAAATCCACACGAGGGATCAGAGACAGCGGGAGTCCCATGTCCCCATCAACAGTTCAAAACGCCCATCTCCGTGCGATTCCCTTACACAGCCTGACACATCATCCACCTGAAAAAAGACGAAAAGTCAATAGTCACAATAATTGCAACAACCATGGTAAGGGTGAGGGACGAAATAAACAAGACTGGGTTTCTAACACTAATGACCGGCCTCCAGCAAATCAAGTTCACAGCTTGATCCACTCCACCTGTCCCGAGCTGCCTGCTTCTTCTCTAATGAAGGCTACAGCCGGCTGTTCAAGTCAGAGCGGCACCCACGCAACGAGCTAAAATTAACAATTGCATTATGCACCGAAGATTACTCACTTCAATTTTAACCTTTTTTAGTGAAATCTCGCACTTTATATTAAAAAAAAAAAAAAAACAAGCTTGTGTGTTTGCCTCAATGACAATCCAGATCACCTATGAGCAAAAGTCTTGCCTCCGTTTTTAACCAAAGCTTTTGTCTTAATTATAGATCAATATAATCTACCTGAGTGCTGTTCCTGTGACTCTTTTCTTCTGAAGGTTATCCTAAGAAGGCTGAAAGATTTTTGACTTAATGAGGCATCAGCTATAAAAGTGAAAAAAACAAAGAAAGGAAAAAGAAAACTTTCACAGTGGTATTGTTGAGAGAGCTCTTTCCTCTCCACTGACAGTTTGAGAAGAAAATTTCCGAATATTCTCTTTGCTGTGTGAGCATCATTTACCCGCCACCTACTGGCCCCTCCCAATCAGGACTGCCACCGTCAGCTGGGCATTCTGTTTGACAGCAAAGCAACACTGTCAGAGGGATTCAACAGATTTGCAAACTTTGAGCCTGTTGAAAACAATCCCTGCTATAACGTGCACTTTCTTTTTCTCACAACTCCTACAGGAGCAGCGGCAAATACAGCTCGAATGCAAAGAGAGAGACAGATTCCTAATAACGTTTGCCAAAACCGAGCTGTATCTCTCGCCCTTTGCTGCAACTCTACCCTGGCGCACATCTGCTAAATCCGACAGCCTGCGCACGTGTTCCACCGTATACCTGACTTTGAAAACACTAAATGCATCTCAGTTATTTACTCTGAAGTTTAGAAACTCTCTCTGCCTCCCCCTCGCTGCCCCCTCCCAAGTTGACATGAGCACAGCTGGCTCCTCGTCGGATTTTACTGCAGCTTTATCAACAGCCTATTGGGTTACGACACCATTTGTTGTGTAAGAGGAAAACAACTGTTGAAAATTCAATCGCTTATACAGTCAATCATTTCTAGCGTTATTTATGTCTTATTAAAATGGATACTTTGGCTGTAAAAAGTGTTTCTTTTGTCGTTAAAAATTACATAACTATGGCGAAGGAAACATGAATTTAGGGATCAAATGCGTTGCTCATCAACAGTAATTTTAATTTCTCAATTTTTATCAGTTTCACATAATGAAAACTTGATACTAAATAGAAGTCAACATGCCTTAAAATTAGGATCTATTTAAGTAACCAGCTCAATATCTAACATGTCTTAGAATAGGCACCTGTGATGGACGGATTTACCAAACGCTTTTTGGATTCTGTTTTCCTTTTCCCAAAGAAAATGAAGTTATCAACGATCACCGCAGCCTTCCTGTCTCCTTTTTCTGATGCTCCTATTTGTACAGTGGTGGTTAATCCAGCCCGGTGAAATGGCCATGCAGTTTTCAAATCTAAGCCTTAGATGCCTTATTCCAGCCCCAGTAGGTGGATGCAAGATATAATTCTTTCCACGAAGAAAGAACAAACTGGTATTCACGTAACCATCTCAAAGCGTGAACAGCCTGGATATGTGTGCGTGCGTAATTACCAGGACACGTTTGGAAATAGCACTGTGCTCTAAAGCCAGCGAGGTATTATTCTTGCCTCCCTGAATCATAAAGTCATCATCCACCAAGATAAAAGAGAATATGGGCATATGGGAACGAGCAGGGAGGAACATATGGATCACAAATATTTTTGTAACTGATTAAAACTGTTCTCTTTGCTAAGAAAGCAGTGCCAGGGAATCAACCCTAGTCCAGCTTTCCGTTCCCCAAACTAACCCGACTCTTCCACTGCTGTTTAGTCTTCATTTGTCCCAACTTCTCCCATTTTTCACAAAGAAGCAAAACCATGTCTAACAAATACGTTTTACCCAGCATTTGGTTAATAGATATCCTGGCCAAGTGTCAATTGTTATGGCTGGAGGTGGGGAGGGAGAAAAAGGAGACTCTATACACATGCACAAAATAAAAGTCACTGCAGTTTTTTCAGTGGAAATAATATTTTAACCACGGTTTAGGGGGTGATATTGAGGAAAGGCAGGCAATAAGTAAGCTGTAGGAAATTGATCAATGGTGTTGTCAGCTATTTACAATGAGGAAAATGAGTAAAATAATGACCATTTTAGATTATGTTGTTTCTTATTTTTTGGGCTGACTTTTAGAGTTGCATATAGTAGCAACTGGGTTTGTGGGAATGAGAAAGAGAGGGCGAGAGGAGAGAAGCACCGCGCAGAAGACCAAATAGTCTGTCTTTCATCATCACCAACAAAATAGGCATGTCCTAATTGTGTGCACACACGCGTGTGTGTGTGTTGCATATATTAATCACTGGGCTGTCACGTGGAGAAAGAAAGCTTGGGGTTTAATTCAAATTCCAGCAGTGATTTAGTTCTCAGAGGATATCTAAAATGAGACATTAAATTCTATTAGCAAGTTGGGAGGGCCACTTTATTAGTCACTTTTGTCATAACCTTTCTACTCAAAATTAGCAGAGGATGACTAATCTTATCCTCGATCAGTATAGGTACTTTATGATGAGACAACACAATCAAGATTTACTTATTTGAACAACTGAAATGTTTTTCCCTTATGCACTGTTCCTTCTTCTTTTAGCTAGTCACAGTTCTGCAAATGTAAGCCACTAGCAAATTGTGATATTAGTGATCTGTCAATTTTCTGCATAAGGTATTTAAATGCTGCAACCGCTTATCAACCAAAGACACACCCTAGTCTCAAAACAGTTATTCTGTTAAAGTTAAAAGAGTTAGTTTGAATGTGTAAGATTAAGTTTAAAGACTTAAAAAACAAAAAAAAAGAGAGAAGAAAATAATTGGAAGAGAGGCAAACAAGAGAGGCCACCGGAATGAGAAGCCTGCACACTGCAACGAAGAGTGGTCCCCGCTCGCCACAACTAGAGAAAGCCTGTGCACGGCAACAAAGACCCAAAATGTAGCCAGAAAGAAAGAAAGGAAGGAAGGAAGAAAGAAAGAAAGAAAGAAAGGAAGGAAGGAAGGAAGGAAGGAAGGAAGGAAGGAAGGAAGGAAGAAAGAAAGAAAGAAAGAAAGAAAGAAAGAAAGAAAAGAAAAGTAATTGGAATGTAATCCTTTCAGAAATGAAAGCAACCATGGCATCATGGCATGAATAGAACATACGGACTAATACCTTCAGCAAGCTTGAAAATGTCCCCAGGTAACAGAAAAACATCAATAAGAGAATTTCACTTAAGTTTACTTTCCAAAGAAAAATGTCTCCTTCAATACATGTATAAGAAATACTCAACCAGGAGTTCTACCCTTTCATTAAACATTTTTTGGTCAACTCAATGCACAGGCATTCTGTAAAATTCTTGAACCACCAGGCAAATGCCAAAGTGATCAGACAACTGTTTTGGAGGAAGAACCTAGGAGGATATTTAAGAAAAGGAATTTTCATACTAGGGGTTTAAAGGTAGAAGTATTTTACATGAATATTCTTATTTCAACTTTGATAGCTAGGCAGTTTATAAACATACAGTACCTCATATGTAGAATATCACTTTTTCTTCCTTATTATTATAGCAAATTGGACACAAACATAACCTACATCAACATTTACCAGACTTCAGTAACGGAAAAAACTGATGTCAAAGCTTTGAACATAAGAACTGCCCCACAATAATCACAAGTGTCTTTAAAAATAAGAGAGGTCTGATCTCAGTAAAAACATCTGAAGGAAAAAGGCCAATGTTTCAATGCCTCACTTTTATAACAACTGTTTACGGAATCTCTACCACCTGCAAGGATGCTGTAACACAATCTCAAAAAATCCTCTTTTTTTTTTCAAAACAATAAAATAAGATAAAAGTTAAATACTTCTAATGGATCCACATGAAAAATTTTAAAGACGGGTTAAACAATTTCATCATCCTTTTCTTGATTATTCATGAACTGGAAAACAAAGATGACTTCTGCTTTTATAAATTCTTAAATGTTTTCTCAGTGTATTTCAAAGAAAGACATAAACTTGGGAGAAGTAAATAATGTACTGGGTCCCATAATAAATATTTGGATATCCCCAGAACTAATTGATGAAAGTAATAAAGTGAAATGTAGCAGGACAAAAGATCTAACATTTGGGTTCTAAAAAATAGTTGCATAATTTGCAATTTTTAGTTTAGACAAGAGAAGACTTAGGGAGGACAAAATAGCTATTTTCTAACGCTATTTTAAAACATATTCAGAGAACAAGGAATTGGCCTTACTTGGTGTTGCTTCAAAAGTTAGCACTAGGAAAAAAAAATAAGAACCTACCTTTCTAAACATAGAACTACCATATGACCCAGTAATTCAACTCCAAAATATACATCCAAGAGAATGGAAAGCAGGGACTAGAACATACAATGGAATATTATTCAGCCTTAAAAAGGAATGGAATTCTGATACATGTTACAACATGTATGGACTTTAAAAATATTATCCTTAGTAAAATAAGTCAGACACAGAAGAACAAAGATGGTATGATTCTGCTTATATGAACTACCTAGAACAGGCAAATTTATAGAGACAGAAAGTAGAAGGGAGGCTACCAGGAGCTGGAGGTAAGGAAGAAAGGAGTTGTTGTTTAATTGGTTTTTGTTGGGGATGATTAAAAAGTTGTGGGGAAAAAAAAAAAAGTTGTGGGTACAGATGTGATGGTTACACAGTTTAATGCCACTCAATTGTACACTTCGGAATGGCTAAAATGATAAATATTATATTATGTATATTTTGTCACAATAAAAGAACCTAAAAAACTTTTTTCTTCTTGAATATGATATAAATGAAAAATAGACAAATCAATATACATATTAACAGATCAAAGGCAGAAAATGATAGTACAAGAGAGGAACTGGCCTACTTTACAAAACTGCTTCTGGTGTATTGAAAACACATACGTAGAAAGACAAATGTGGTGGACGTAACCTGCCTTGGTTTGTACTGATTCAAATAGGTACCCAATAAATGGGGCCATCCTCCTCCTCAGCATCATCTTAGCAGTCTAGATAAGCTCTGCTATTTAACCATCCAATGTGGACACTGCAAGAATAAAAGGTTAGGATGCAGTGATGTGCTGAGAATTT